GAGGGCAATGGTGAGCTCAGTGGGGCAGCGAGCTAGGAAGTGGTCCCTGACTGAGCGCAGAGTGTCAGGGAGGCGGGTGACTAGGTGGTAGAGAGTGAGCCAGAGTGGGGGTGGGTTCTTGGCAAGGAACTCATCAAGCATGGTGGCGCGGAAGCGAGCCTCACTAGTGCGGAGGTGTGTAATGAGGTCAGCGACTGTGTGGAAAGAGGCTAAGTCGGGGAACAGGTAGGGAAGAGAGAGACGGCCTAGTGCGGCAGAGGCCGGTGAGGAGTAGCGGGCAACGACAGCAGTGTACAGTGCCTGTGCAGTGTGCTGCCCAAAGTGCTCGCGCTCATCTATCGGCAGGGAGTTGCGAATAGGGAAGCGAGCGTGGGCGTCACGAGTCTGCCACTGTGAGCGGGCAGTGCTGTCAGCAGTAGCAGTAGAAGCAGGAGCATGGCCTAGGGCGTGATCGTACAGTGAGATGTCCTCCTTGGCAGTGAGCTGTAGGAAGAGGTGTAGGTCATCTAGCCAAGTTTCGAACTTCACTGGGCGGCCCTCAGCATCGAAAGCCAGTACAGGAGGGCTAGCCATAGCAGTAGTAGGAGTAATAGTAGTAGGGGCACCCCAAAAACAGTAGGCAGTGCGACTCAAGTAGGGCGGCTCGGTCCAGTACGGGTGGCGCGGCTCGGTTCAGGTAGGGCGGCGCGGCTCGGGAAGGGCGGCGCGGCTAGGTTCAGGCGGCGCGGCTCGCTTTGGGCTGGGCGGCTCGGTTCGAGCGGCTCGGTTCGGGCTGGGCGGCTCGGTTCGGGCGGCTCGGTTCGGGCAGGGTGGCTCGGTTCGGGCTGCTCGGGTCGGGCGGCTCGTTCTGGGGGGGGGGGGCGTTCGGGGCCTCTAGGGGCGAGCGCGGGGCCGTAAGGGGCCGCTAAGGGCGAGCGCGGGGCCGATCGGGGCCTCTTGGGGCGAGCGCGGGGCCGTAAGGGGCCGCTAAGGGCGAGCGCGGGGCCGTTCAGGGCCTCTAGGGGCGAGCGCGGGGCCATACGGGGCCGCTAAGGGCGAGCGCGGGGCCGTTCGGGGCCTCTAGGGGCGAGCGCGGGGCCGTAAGGGGCCGCTAAGGGTGAGCGCGGGGCCGATTGGGGCCTCTAGGGGCGAGCGCGGGGCCGTAAGGGGCCGCTAAGGGCGAGCGCGTGGGCCGACGGGGCCTTAAGGGGCGGCGCGCGAGTCGCTAAGGGGTGGGTCGCGGGTCGCAGGGCCTTAGAGGGCCGTGAAAACCGAGGCGCCCTAGGGCGCAGGTAGGTAGGTAGGTAGGTAGGTAGGTAGTGGTGGGCCCTAAAAAATCGGTCCTAGGAAGGACCTGCTCTATACCATGTTGAAATGAATGAACAGGAATGATTGAACTAACAGTGAAATCAGTACAAGTACCTAACCCTAGAATTGTGTACCCCCTATAGGCTAACCCACTGTAGCCTAAACAAGCACAACATATATAATGTTTGACAGTGCCGATTGCTGGTGTTGCTCGTAGAAGGACATGAAGGAGAAATACTTCTCCATCATGCTCTGGTCGAAGTCTGCAGGTTGATTCGCGGGAGTCTCAGTAGATGTTGCTCTGGGTCTTGTTGCCGTGCCCTCCTCTGTCTGTAGGCCAAAGGCAGGAGGTGGAGTAGGAGTAGTGCCCTGGGAGCCGTTGGAGTTGCTCCTTTCCTTTTGTGTAGCCATGCTTGTCAGAATGTTACGCTCTAGCCTGTAGTGGGGTGCTCTATAGCGAGTACAACCCTTCTAGGGTTTGCTATTTGTATCCTCATTCTTGCTAGTGCAATCCTCTCTTTTTGCCTAAACTGTCTCTTGCCTAGCTAGGGCTTTCCTAGCTATGGCTCCTAATCCTACCGCTTATTTTCACATGGTATTAGAGCGATATGCTCCTGGCCTGTGGGCCCCACCTCACTGCTTCCGCTGCTACTGCTACTCCCTGTCCGCCGCGCGCCCCGTGGTGCGCGGCGTCGAAATTAGGGTTTTCAGCCCGCCGTGCGCCCCGAGGCGCACGGCGGTTTTCTGCCCGCCGTGCGCCCCGAGGCGCGCGGCGGGTTTCTGCCCCGTCACGCCGCGCGTCGCTTCCGGGAGGCGCTGCGACGGGCGACGGGGACCCGCGCGTCGCCCCCCGTCGCCCGTCGTGGCCTGCGCGCGGCCCGTACGGGCTGCGCCAGGCCCGCGCGCGGCCCGTACGGACTGCGCCAGGCCCGCGCGCGGCCCGTACGGGCTGCGCCAGGCCCGCGCGCGGCCCGTACGGGCGGCGCCAGGCCCGCGCGCAGCTCGAGCCGCCTTCGCGCGGTTCGGGAGGCTGTGCCAGGCCCGTGGGCGGCCCGTTCCTCGCTGTCCCTGCCCTCCCCGCTGTCCCCCGTGCTTCTGATGGCGCCCCACCCCTCCTCCTGCCCGTTCTCCTGAATTAGGGTTTGGGGGTGGGGGGTATGGGGGTGCAGCTTCTGTGTGCCGTTCCCTACTCCTCCTCCTCCTCCGTCTCCCTGTGCTGCAGCTGCCGCTGAGGGGGGGTGGACCTGTTGGAGCCGTTGGAGTGGTACTAAGGGGGGGTGAAGGGGGAGTGGAGCTAGGGGTGAAGCAGGGGGTGTGTGTCAGGGGGGGTGGTACTGTTTGGGGGAGGTTGAACGGAGGTTGCCGTCGTGTCGCCAGCAGCACCTGTAGTCCGGGGAGTTGCTCCGGTAGCCCAGTTGTAGCCACCTGTGCCAGTCGCCCGTGGGTCCGTTGCTCGTCTGCCACTACTTTTAGCCGCGGGGCCAGTTACTCCAGTAGTCCGGAGCGCTGTTCCGGTAGCCGCTGTGCCAGTGTGCCTCCTGTTGCCCGTGTGTCTGCAACTTCAGCCGTCGCCTCCTATCTCCTCTCCTCTCACTGTCCCTCCTCCTCCTCACTTGCCCGTTGTGACTACCACTAGCTTTGCTCATAATTGTGAACTTTAAACTATTGCTTCTTGAACTTGTGCTCAGAATGTGTGGTGACATTGTGATCCACCCTGAGCTTGTTCTGCTTTGCTTGCTTTGCTGATTACACCCCACTTTGGCTATGGGGGTGTGTCAGAATGTTATGCTCTAGCTTGTAGTGGGGTGCTCTATAGCGAGTACAACCCTTCTAGGGTTTGCTATGTGTATCCTCATTCTTGCTAGTGCAATCCTCTCTTTTTGCCTAAACTGTCTCTTGCCTAGCTAGGGCTTTCCTAGCTATGGCTCCTAATCCTACCGCTTATTTTCACAATGCTGATTGATGTTGACGGTATAGAAGTTGAATTCCCCATGATTGCTCTCATACCATGTTGGGCTGAAAAGGCCCTTAGGATCTTTTGCAGGGGTGAACTCTGTGTAGAGTTGGTGTAGTAGCGGAAGCGTTAATAAAGACTTGTGAACCACCTTGCGCTAGTATGTGAGGGCAAAGTAAGTTGATTAAAACAAAGAGATACAAGATTATATAAGAGTACAAGGAATATGAAAGGATACGGTTATAACTGTTTTACTTGTTGCTGTTGCGGTTCGATACAGTAACGACTCGGGCAACTGCTCTGTAGTGAGTCAGTTGTGTGTCCTTGCTGTCGCGCTGTACTTGTCAGGTCAAAGGTCGCTGACCTTTGACTTTCGCGTAACCTCCAGCGGCTACTTCAACCTCCGAGGGTTGACTTGCTGGTGCCTCGATATGCTTTGCTCCGCTTGTGCCTTAGTGTTTCGGCACGACAAAGGCGCTTAGGACCGATTGCTTCCAACAGCTAGGACGATTGGTATTCCCCTGTACTATTATTTGTAGTGCTGTATTTGCATGTTTTCATTATCTCAAACATTTACATTCACTCTGCTATTGAGATCAAGGGCCCACCACCACTAAATTAGTAGTGTGCAAACCTTCCTGAGGTGATCATGGCTACGATCAACTTCAGATCGCCACACTTCCCTTGCAAACGTGCCTTCCCTTGCAATATCGCCCTGATTATGCAGCACATGGTAAATTTCAACCCCAATTTAACAGTAAATACTCTGTTTAGAGTATTACTTAAAAGGATTCGCTGAGCAATAAATATGGATTAGCTGGTTCTGGAATAAGTGTGCGCCACGGGGTGCAGCATGCTGTATGGAGGACTGTAGAAACGAGTTCTCTGTATTGCGCACCCAACCTGCGTGCTGCCGAAATTCCACGGAACTTCTCTGTGGGACCTTCAAGCTGGTGCTTCCGTCAAAGCGATTCTTCTGTTCCGCAAATCCACGTCATTCCTGACGCCCATCATCCACGCAGGCAGCGCTCCGTCAAGGAGGAACAAAGTTGGTTTCACCGTCAGGAATGGCAATACCTATGAATCCACTTGTTTGTTTGACCAGGTTGGGAAGGCTCTAGTATGGTTTGGTGTGGTATGGTAATTTTCTGTGGCTCATGCTGCGGTGCTGTGGCCATCCCCTAGGGCATCCTTCTCGTCTCGTCCCATACATACTACACGGGCGCGTGTACGTACAGCTTCAATGGAGGCTCTGGCAGGGAAATAGGTCACACCACCACACAAACTGTTTGGTTGAGAAAGTGGCATCACCAACACCAATCATGCAGGAGTAGTCATGGGTTGCCAACGAGCTGTGCGGGACTTGTAAGGGCATTACCGATTTAATTATTAAAGTTTCTTTAATATCTCCGCTTTAAGGTTATTATTATTTAATCTATACCTGATGAGTTGCTTGACAGCCACTCCGATGCACGGCACGTGGTGAGCCATGAGTGGTCCATATAGAGGTTCCCGATGGGCCTCACAAGACGGTAGGCCGCTAGCCAACGGTCGTTTAGGCGCAGAGCTGTCGCCGCCTCGTGGGCTGCACGCTCGGCTGCCATCGTACGAGGATCAGCAGGGCCATGCAGAGCAGGCTCAGACGCAACAGGCTCCGGCGCAGCAGCTGGTATACTGGGAGCAGCAACAGCAGCAACAGCAGCAACAGCGGCAGCAGCAGCAGCAGGGTCAGCAGCAATGGCAGGAGCCGCCGCTGCGAATGCCGCCAGCGCCGGTGCCGTACGGCCAGCGGCAGCACCAGCAGCTGCAGCAGCAGCAGCAACCGCCTCGGCCGGGCCTGAGCGCTCGACCGCGTGCGACAGCCAGTTCGTCCTACGAGCAGCGACCGTCGTACGAGCAGCGGCCATCGTACGAGCAGCGGCCATCGTACGAGCAGCGGCCGTCGTACGATCACCGACCGCCGTACGATCACCGTGCGTCGTTCGATCAACGGCAGTCGTACGAACGAAGGCCGTTATCCGCATCTCCCGGTATCGCCGCGGTTCGTTCGTACAGCACGGACGTCCCTCCCGATTTTTACAATCCGCGACCGCTTTCGGCAGCAGCGGGCGTGCCACGTGGCCGCAGTGTGAGCGACGACGATGGGTATACCGGAGACGACTCGACGTCAGGTCGACCAATGGTTGACCGACCCGTGGAAGGCCGACAAACCGGTCCGTCATCCGGTTATCCCGCAAACCCTTATCAGGCCCCTCATCAGGCCCCTTATCAGGCTTCTTATCAGGTCCCTTATCAGGTCCCTTATCAGCCGCCGCAGCCGCCGTACCATCACTCGCAGCTTAGTCCTCACGGCGGCGACATTGCGTTGAAAAAGCCTCTTAGTCCGAGACAGGTCAGGAGCCCTAGAGCGCTTAGCCCGCTCGCTGCTGCCGCGTTCGGCATGCGCGGGGGTTACGGCGCGCCGGGGAGGGGGAATGAGGAGTGCGTGTACGGGGAAGACGAGGAGGGGGAGGAGGAGGAAGGCCGCGAGCGCAGCTTGCGCGCGGGGATATTGAGGGGCGCGGCGGCGCTGAGGGAGCGGCAAGCGGGGTCGTCGGACGACGGCGCGAGTACCTCCCCCACGTCTATTGGCTCCCCCGGGGTTCTGCCGGGCGGGGGCGCGGGATGGAGCGGAGGGGCCGGCGGAGGATTAGGCGGCGCAGGCGGAGGATCTGACCCGTCAAATCGTCCTAGCACTGCGAGCAGCACCAGCAGCACCATGAGCGGCGGCGGCGGCGGGTTTGGCGGAGGGTTTGGCGGAGCGGGGAGTAGCAGCAGCAGCAGCAGCACGGGGGTGACGGTGATACGCGGAGTCATGGCCGGCGGATCCGTGGGTAGAAGCGGGGGAACAACCCTAGCGGGAAAGCAGGTGGTGATTCGAATTCGACCAAGAGGCGGCTCCATAGACGCGTCGCACGGAGTGGGTTCCACCAGCAGCAGCAGCGGCGCTGGCGGCGGCGACGGCGGCGGCGGCAGCGCGGCGGACGTAGGCAGTGGCGCGGCGGCAGCGGGTTTCACGGCGACGGTGACGGCTGTGCTTCCGGCGGGCGCGGGGTCCCCCCGTTCCCCGTCCAGCGCGCGCAAACGGGAGGCGGGGGGGGCGGGCGCGCCTGGCGCGGGCGGAGGGAGGCTAGAGGGGGTAGGTAGGCACACATTCGCAGCAGGCAGCACAGGCGGCGATGGTGCTACGGAAGGCGGGTATTCCCGAGAGGCCAACCTCACTCTCCCTGGCAAGCGAACCGACGCCTCGGCCGAACCTAGGTTCAAAGGTGTGACGCGGTTAGGCTCGGTGGCGGCTGCCGAAGCAGCAGCCGCGGCAATTGCGGTGGCAGACGCGGCGGCTGTAGCGCAGGCGGGGAAAGCGGGGTGGGAGCCGCCTCTCAGCCCCCCAGGGGTGCCCGCCATCCCCGCGGAGGGCCGTCTGAGCAGCGAGGGAGACGTTTTTCTTGAGTATCTGCGCAAGGCGGGCGAGGGGAGGGCAGCTGCGCAGTATGACGTGGCAGTGTGCTACGGAGGGGGCTTTGGCGTGAAGCAGGATAAGTCCCTCGCCGCGTACTGGTTCCGAAAGGCGGCAGAGCAGGGATTGGCGCGCGCACAGTACGCTCTAGCAGAGTGCTACGAGGCAGGCGCGGGCGTTGAGAGAGACGAAGAGGAGTCCTTCCGGTGGTTCTTCCGGGCGGCGAGCTTCGGCAGCGGCAAGTACTTAGTCAAGCTGGGGCTGTGCTTTGAGCGGGGATTCGGCGTGACAGAGTGTCCTGTAGCGGCGCTGTACTGGTACCACAAGGCGGCGGAGCAGGGGCCGAAATTCGCAGCGCAGGTGGAGAAGCGCATGGAGGTGCTGCAGCGGCAGCGGGAGGAGGAGATCATGAGCGCGCGGGGGGAGGGCGTGCCGGTGGAGTGCATCTGCCCGCTGACAGGCAGGATGATGGAGGACCCGGTGGAGCTGCCTGAGACGGCCGTGTGCTGTGAGCGCGCCCAGGTCAAGACGTTCTGGGACCACTGCGAACTCAGATGCCCTGTTACCAACCAGGTGGGTGGGTTACAAACCAGGTGGGTGGGTTACAAACCAGGTGGGTGGGTTACCAACCAGGTGGGTGGGTTACCAACCAGGTGGGTGGGTTACCACCCAGGTGGGTGGGTTATCTAGGTGGGTGGGTTACCTATCAGGTGGGTGAGTTACCTATCAGGTGGGTGAGTTACCTATCAGGTGGGTGGGTTACCTATCAGGTGGGTTACCTATCAGGTGGGTTGGTCACCAATCAGGTGGGTGGGTTACCTCGTTAAATCTGGCCGTTTCACCTCTTTGATTTGAAAGGTTTTCCTTTTGTTCTTTTGCCGTTCCTCGTTGCTTTTGCCCTCCCGTATTATGCTCAGACTCCACACTCCCTCTGTTTGTCTCTGCTCTTCAACCATCCCTTTCAGGCTTCCTCCTCTCATGTTTAAACCCTTCACCCTTGTCTTTGCACTCTTCCCACCTTCCCTCCACCCACCCACCCACTTACTCTCCCTGCGCCAGCCTCTCAAGGTGAAGGACATGAAGACAAATCTTGCCATCCGGCGCCGGGTCACTGAGTGGAAGGTAGGCACCCTACATTTTCCAGAGCTTTTTTTGTTTTCCTTAATTTTCAGTAGCTTCTCTGTTCCTCACCCTCATTCCATGTTACCACCACCCGCGCCCATGTCTCCTCTCCCCCAACCTGTCTATCCATTCGCCCACCCCCTCTGCAGCTCCCCATCCCTCTCTCCCCGCCACCCCTCGTATTCCCCCCACCCTCCCCTTCCCACCATTCGCCATAACCCCTTGCTCCTCAAACCCTGAGCAAACCTTTTGGTTTTAGTATTTTTTAAAGCCAAATCTTCTCCTTGACTTCCCAAACCCTGCTCACAAAAAGAGCCCCTCGTTCCCTCCCCATCCCGCCATTCCCAAATTATCTCTCTACCCCCACCCAACTTTCTTCAACCCCACCCCACACGCTCCCTCTCTTCTCCTTGACCCCTGACTCCCCCCGGTGAAATCCCAGTGCAAGCGGCAGGCGGAGCAGGAGGCGCTACAGGGGCCAGTGGGGCCTCCAATACGAGCTCCTCCCTTTCTCCCCATCCCTCCCTCCCCCTCTCCCCCCCTCTTCCCCCGCTCCAGCGCAAGCGGCAGGCGGAGCAGGAGGCGCTACAGGGGCCAGTGGGGCCTCGGGCGTCCACCTGCCAGGCAGTCGAGGGCGATGAGTGGGGGACGGAAGGGGAAGACGAGGGGGAGCACGGCCGGGCTTATGGGCCGCACGAGGAGGAGGAGGACGAGGAGGACGAGGAAGGGGAGGAGGGTGTGGGTGGGACGGCGGTGGACAAGGTTGGGCTGGGGAGTGTGGGAGGGAAGGGGAGGGGAAGAGGTGGAGAGAAGGAGGGAGAGAGGAGGAAGAGCCGGTTTTCTAGGGATCTATCAGAGGAAGGGGAGAGGAGTGGGGCGAGTGAGAGTGAGAGGGAGGAGGAGGAGGAGGTTGGTGGGAGGTCGAGAGGGGCAGGTGGAAGAGATACAGGGGATGGGGTTGGAGAGAGGAGGAGGAGGAGGGGGGAGGAGAGGAGGGACAGGCACAGTGATAGTGACACTGGTTCGTCGTATGTTAGTGATGAGGATTATGATGACTGATTACGATGATGGGGAGGAGCAGAGGCACAAGAAGAAAACGTATAATGATGATGACAAGTATGATGACGAGGATGAGGGTTATACTTCTAGTGAGTACGACAGGAGCGAGGATAGATCGTCAGGCAGTGAGGGGTACAGGGAGGGCGCGGACAGGGAGACAAGCAGGAAGGGGGCAGACCGTAGGAGTAGTAGCCCTAGAAAGGGGTCAGGGAGGGGGCGAGGTAGCAGCAGCAGGGGGAGGAGGGATGAAGATGGGTCGGACTATAGTGACAGTGACTACAGCCATAGTGACTCTGACGAGGGGGAAGGCGATGAGAGGGGCAGAGGTGGCAGGGGCAGGTCCAGTGGAGTGGCAGACAGGAGCCGGGAGACAAGCTTCAAGTCAAGAGAGGGGGACAGCGAGGAGGGCGAGGATGGAGAGGAGGGAGAGGTGGCCGTGGGGCGGGCGTTGGCTCGTGATTCGTCCCGCGACCTGTCTCACAGCTACAGCCGAGGCTCCTCCTCCCGGGCGTACAGTGAGAGCGTGCCATCTGAGCCGTCCATGCGCCGAGATGCGTCCCTGGACGAGCCTAGGAGAGTCAAGGTGTCCATGCCCCGGGGTGGGTCAGTTGGTGGGTCTGTGAGAGGGGAGGGTGTTGTGAGGAAAGAAGGGTACTTGTCTGGTGAGGAGGACGGAGACGGGGGAGAGGGGCTTGGTGTGAGTAAGGGCGAGGAGGAAGAGGGTGGAGAGAGGGAATGGAAGGGGGAGGGAGCTGAAGGGAAGTGTGGGCGGAGTGGGAGTGGGTGAGGTTGAGGGGTTGGGGATTGGTGGCGTCGAGACGGGGGAGTCAGGAGAAGGGTTGGAAGCGGAGGGTTGGGAGGAGGAGGAGGGGGAGGGGGAGGGGGAGAAGAGGGATCCGACGGAGCTGCTACTGGAGGAGCTGGCTCAGGCCGAGCTGGACTATGGCTTCCCTGGGGCTAATGTGAGTGCTCTTATCACAGAGCGCTCTTATCACAGAGTGCTCTTATTACTGGTGCTCTTATCACTGGTGCTCTTATCACTGGTGCTCTTATCACTGCATCTCAATGTCCACACTTCTCTGCCTGTCCCTCTATCTCTCCTCCCCCGATCCCACCCTCTGGAGGCGAGTCCCACCAGCACCGATCACAGCACAGTCACACCAGCATTCTTCATGGCACGACCGCCTGCCTGCTGCCTGCATCGCTTCCGTCCACCCTATGCACGTGATCCGCGCGCTGCCGTGCGCTGTGTTCAGATTCTCACCGGCACATCCCTCTGCGTGCCCTGCCCCTCCACCTCTCTCCCTTCTCCCCCCTCCTCTCCCCACACCCCACCCGTGCAGGTGAGTCCGCGCACGGTGAGTCGGTGGAACAGCACGCGCGAGGACAGCCTGCAGGCCGTCAAGAGCGTCGTGGCCGAGGTGAGTGAGGGCAGGGGAGGGGAAGGGAAGGGAGAGGAGGGGAGAGGAGGGGAAGGGGGAGGGCTGGAGGGTAGTTATGCGAAGAGGGGGGGAGGAGGGGGGGCAAGTTTGTTGAGGGTGATGCTTGCAAACGCCCCATCCCCCCCACTCTTCCCCTTTCGCCCCCCTTGCAGGCGGAGCCAACCAGTGATTGATTGTGGGCCGCGGTGGGCGCTGGCACGCTACCGCGAGGTGCTGGAGAAGCTGCTGCCCGTCGTGAGGTGCCTGAATAGTAGTCCATACAGAAACCTACTCCCCCCCCTCCCCCTCGTCCTTTCCACCTCCCCTCCGCCCCTCTCAGGCGGAGCCAGTGATTGACTGTGGGCCGCGGTGGGTTCTAATGCGGTACCTCGAGAACCCATCTGCACCGCATTGCATATCCCCACTTCCCCCCCGTTCTCAACCCCTCAGGCGGAGCAAGTGATCGACTGTGGGCCACGGTGGGCGCTGGCACGGTACCTTGAGAGAACCCATTGGAACCGTCTTTGCATCCCCCCCAAACGCGTTATCCGCGCTTCCCAATCCCTCAGGCGGAGCCAGTGATCGACTGTGGGCCGCGGTGGGCGCTGGCACGGTACCTGGAGGTGCTGGAGAAGCTGCTGCTCGTGCAGCGGGAAGCTGGACAGAACCTTCTGGGGTCGTGTGCAGGGGGGCCGGGCGGCTCGGGCAGGGGAGCGGGGGAGGGCGAGGGGGAGGTGTGGGAGGCGGTGGAGGCACTGGAGGGGCTGTGTGCACGGGGGGTGCAGCAGCTGCTGGATGACTTCAGGGCCGCGCTGCTGGCCTGCAGGTACGGTGTGTGGCATTGGAGCGAGGTGGGTGGCTTGTGAGTTGACTCACAAGTCCCTTGAAGGAGGGGGGGAGGTGTGGGAGGCGGTGGAGGCGTTGGTGGGGCTGTGTGCGCGCGGCGTGCAGCAGCTGCTGGACGACTTCAGGGCTGCTCTGCTCGCCTGCAGGTACCTCTCCTATGCCCGCGCCTGTGCCTGCGCGCTGTGCATGCCTTTGATTCGACCCAAAGGGGGTTGTGGGAGCGCGGGGTGCAGCAGCTGCTTGGCGACTTGAGGGCCGCCCCCAACACCTGCCCCCCTCCTCCACCCCCTTTCCTTCCCACTACAGCCAGCCCTTGGACACAGCAGAGCTGCATGAGGCGGCAGCAGCAGCAGCAGCAGAAATGGCCCTTGTGAGAGATTCCAGATAATCCTTAAATGTATCCAACACCTCCCTTTTCCCACCCTCTCCCCCCCTGTACCCACTACAGCCAGCCGCTAGACACAGCAGAGCTACACGAGGCGGCAGCAGCAGCAGCAGCCCACTCGTCCCGCGCCTCCTCCTCCGCCCATCAGGTTCCCGCCCACGCGCCCCCCGCCTCCTCCCCTTCCACCTCCGCCTCCCCTGCCCCTGCCGTCACCACCCTCTCCTCCAAGTCTGGCCCGCTCCCTACCGCCACTGCTAAGCCCAAGGGGCACGCGCACAAGGGGGGTGGGGGGTCTGCAAGGGAAGGCGGGGAGGATGGGGGAAGGCACTCCGCCCCCTTCCCCTCGCCTGCCCATGCTGACAGGCATGGCGCTTCTGGTGCCGGTGTCAGTGGTGTTGCTAGTGGTGGTGCTGCGGGTGCTGGTGATGGGACGGGGTCGTTGGTTGGTGATTCTGTTTCTGCGACTGGGAGTGGGACAGGGAACAGTATTCACAGGAGTGGTAGTGGGGGCGGCGGGGGGAGTGGGAGGGGGAAGGGGAGGGAGAGGGAGGGGAGGGTGATGAGGAGGCCCACCAAGTGGGTGGGGGCGGACAAGGCAGCGGTGGGGCTGCGGCAGGTGGTGCAGGTGCTGGCTAGAGCAGGCCACTTCGACCGCTGCTTTGACATTTACAGGTGGGCGGGGTGGGGCTGCTGGTGGTTGGGGTTGCTGGTGTGGGGTACCCCAGTGTGTGTGATGGGCGTTGTAGATGGGAGTGCCTCGTTGCAGTCGGTGGAGTAATCTTCCCATGCATGCATGCATGCGTGCTTGTCATGGGAAGGAAGCATGTGCAGTGGAGTTGAGGCGACCCATTGTGTGTGTGTGTGTGTGTGTGTGTGTGTGTGTGTGTGTGTGTGTGTGTGTGTGTGTGTGTGTGTGTGTGTGTGTGTGCTAGGTAAGTGTGTGGTGGCAAATTGGTGGATTGTTCAGCAATGGCAAGTGTGTAGAAAGCGAAGCTATGTGGCACAGAGTGTCATGTGGATCAAGTACTGCTTGTAACATTCACCTCGCCCTCTCCCTCCCCCTCTCCCTCCCCCTCTCCCTCCCCCTCTCCCTCCCCCTCTCCCTCCCCCCTCTCCCCTAGTCCCCCGGCTCTTTCTCTCGCCTTTCTCCTCCCCTCCACCATTTCTCGCTTCCTACCCAAGCATCTGAGGTTTCCTCCCCTCTCCCATTCCCCTGTTCACCTCCCTCCCTTCTTCCCCACGGTATCAGGTCAGTGAGGGAGGACTGTGTGCGGGAGACAATAAAGGCATTAGAGGTGGAGCCTATAAGGGGTACGGCGCACGTGAACCAGCTGCCGTGGCAGCAGCTGCAGCACATCATGACGGACTGGCTTAGAGACTGCCGCCTGCTGGTGAGTGGGTGTGCTGCTGGTGGGGAGGGGTGGTGGTGAGGGGTGCTGCTGGTGGGGAGGGGTGGTGGTGAGGGGTGCTGCTGGTGGGGAGGGGTGGTGGTGAGGGGTGCTGCTGGTGGGGAGGGGTGGTGGTGAGGGGTGCTGGTGGGAGGGTGGTGGTGAGGGGTGCTGCTGGTGGGGAGGGTGGTGGTGAGGGGTGCTGCTGGTGGGGAGGGTTGGTGGTGAGGGGTGCTGCTGGTGGGGAGGGGTGGTGGTGAGGGTGCTGCTGGTGGGGAGGGTGGTGGTGAGGGGTGCTGCTGGTGGGGAGGGGTGGTGGTGAGGGGTGCTGCTGGTGGGGAGGGGTGGTGGTGAGGGGTGCTGCTGGTGGGGAGGGGTGGTGGTGAGGGGTGCTGCTGGTGGGGAGGGGTGGTGGTGAGGGGTGCTGCTGGTGGGGAGGGGTGGTGGTGAGGGGTGCTGCTGGTGGGGAGGGGTGGTGGTGAGGGGTGCTGCTGGTGGGGAGGGGTGGTGGTGAGGGGTGCTGCTGGTGGGGAGGGGTGGTGGTGAGGGGTGCTGCTGGTGGGGAGGGGTGGTGGTGAGGGGTGCTGCTGGTGGGGAGGGGTGGTGGTGAGGGGTGCTGCTGGTGGGGAGGGGTGGTGGTGAGGGGTGCTGCTGGTGGGGAGGGGTGGTGGTGAGGGGTGCTGCTGGTGGGGAGGGGTGGTGGTGAGGGGTGCTGCTGGTGGGGAGGGGGTGGTGGTGAGGGGTGCTGCTGGTGGGGAGGGGTGGTGGTGAGGGGTGCTGCTGGTGGGGAGGGGTGGTGGTGAGGGGTGCTGCTGGTGGGGAGGGGTGGTGGTGAGGGGTGCTGCTGGTGGGGAGGGGTGGTGGTGAGGGGTGCTGCTGGTGGGGAGGGGTGGTGGTGAGGGTTGCTGCTGGTGGGGAGGGGTGGTGGTGAGGGGTGCTGCTGGTGGGGAGGGGTGGTGGTGAGGGGTGCTGCTGGTGGGGAGGGGTGGTGGTGAGGGGTGCTGCTGGTGGGGAGGGGTGGTGGTGAGGGGTGCTGCTGGTGGGGAGGGGTGGTGGTGAGGGGTGCTGCTGGTGAGGGCTGTGGTGGTGAGGGGTTCTGCTGGTGAGGTGAGGGCTGTGGTGGTGGCTAGGGCAGCTGCGACTGCAGCACACCATGACCGACTGGCTGCGCGACTGCCGCCTGCTGGTGAGGACGGGTGCTGTGCTGCTAGGGAGGAGTGCTGCTGGTGAGGGGTGCGGTGAGGCGTTGTGGTGGTCCATGCTAAGATGCTCACTCCATCTTCACCATGCTAAGATGCTCACTCCATCTTCACCATGCTAAGATGCTCACTCCATCTTCACCAAGCTAAGATTCTCACTCCATCTTCACCATGCTCCTCCTCTCTCATGCTCACAACACAACCACCGTCCCTCCCCTCACTCTCTCCTCTGCCCAACGCCTCTCCTCACTTTCTCTCGCCTTCTCTGCCCCTCCCCAGCTGCGCACGATAATGGAGGAGGAATTCTCCCTCGCCACTTCCATCTTCGGCATACTGCACTCCACCGCACAGAACCGCACTACCAGCCGCCGGGAACCCTCCCAACTCCTGCAAACCCCTTCCTCCACCTCCTCCACCACAGCCACCAACACAGCCTTTTCCAACCCTCGCCTCCCCAGCCACCGATCCTCCAGCATCCGAACCACAGCCAGCAAGTCCGGGAGGTCCGGGAGCACCCGGACCTTGAGGCTCGGCGACGAGGCTGCGGCAGACTCAGGGAGGGCGATCTCCCTCAAGATATTGCGGCAGGCAGGGATGCCGCGCACGCTGTCAACGCTGATGCACAATGCCAACACGCTCACGGCTGCCCAGGCCACACCAGAAAGGCTTTTCCTGCTTCTCGACATGGCTGCTACTGTAGAAGAACTCATGCCTCAGGTGGGGAGTGCGATTGGCTTGGGGGTTTGATGGTGCTGCTGGGTTGAGTTTGGTGGCGCCTCGAAACTTGAGAGGCTCTTCCTGCTGCTCGACATGGCCGTTGCTGTAAAAAAGCTCATGCCCCAGGTGGGGAGAGTGGGCAGGTCATGCTGAGGGCTTGTGGGTTGTGGGTGGGGGGTGGGCTAAGATCTGGGTTTCTGGGTTTAAGTTGGGGCTGTGGACTTGAGTCCATTTGACTCCCTCCGTCCCCTTCTCACCATGAAGTGGAACGATGTGATGGTGGGGCAGCGAGAGTCTGCTGTCCAAAGCGAGTTTTGGGACGTCTCAAAGCAGCGAGAGTCTGCTGTCCAAAATGAGTTTTGGGACGTCTCAAAGCAGTGAGAGTCTGCTGTTCAAAGCGAGTGAGAGTCAATCCTGCTCAACCCCTCTTTCCCCCCTGTGTGTGGCTGGCAGGTGGAGCGGCTGGTGTGCTGGTCCGATAGTGAAGGGCTGCTGGCGGAGTGGCGGGGGCTGACACGCGGCGTGGCGAAGGCGGTGCTGGGCACGTTTGATGCTCTCACTGCCACACTGCAGGTGCCCGTGGAGCAGCCCCGGCGGAACAAGTGGTACGTGCGATGGAAACTAGTGGTTGAGAGGAGGGGAGGAAGAGGGAGGGGAAAGTATGAAGACAGCAGTGCTGCGCACCTTTGGTGGCAACTGCAGCATGACAGCAGTACTGCCATGCTGCAGTTGCCTGTGGAGCAGCCGCGCAGAAACAAGTGGTACGTGTTGAGGAAAGGAGGCAGGGAGGGAGTTGTTTCTTTTTGAGAGGGGGGAAGAGAGGCAGTTGAGAGGAGGGGTCTGAAAGCAAGTGGTGAGAGCTGCCGTGCAAGAGTGAGTCGCACGGGCGTGGCCGGGAGGAGTCACAACTATGGGGATGGTTGAGAGCAGCAAGGAAGAACAATAGGGGAGGCTGACTGGGTGTGACCTCTGTGTGTGCCTTGTGCATTGCATCATATCCCATACTCCGTGTCTTTTGTGCTGTGCTGTGCTGTGCTGTGCGGTGCTGTGCTGTGCTGTGCTGTGCTGTGCTGTGCTGTGCTGTGCTGTGCGGTGCTGTGCTGTGCTGTGCTATGATATGCTGTACTGTGCTGTGCTGTTCCGTGCCGTGCCATGCCGTGCCGTGCCGCGCCGTGCCGTGCCGTGCCGTGCCGTGCCGTGCCGTGCCGTGCCATGCCGTGCCGTGCCGTGTTGTGCCTTGCCGTGCTGTGGCATGCAGGCGGTTGTTCCGAGGAGAGGGCAGCAGCAGCGCCAAGGAGGGCGGGGGAGGGAGCGGGTACCCACCGGGATGGGGTGTGGAGAAGAGTGGAAGCGTGCATGCCGTCACCAGCTATGTCATCAACTACATTGCCACCTACCTGGGCAGGTGCGTGCTGCATGCACCTAGACTTGTCCCGCTCATGTGTGCCTCATGTCCCGCGCACGTGCATTGCCACACGGCAGTGGGCGTGTGCACACTGCGATGTGACCAGCTACGAGGTCAATCACGTCGCCACGTACCTGGGCAGGTGTGTGTGTGTGGGCAGGTGCATGCTGCACGCACCTAGACCCACACACGCACCTTATGTTCACCTTCCAGTGGGCGCGTGCACACTGCGATGTGACCAGCTATGAGGTCAATCACGTCGCCACGTACCTGGGCAGGTGCGTGCTGTACGCACCGAGTCCCAAAGGCGTGCCTCATGCCCCCCGCATGTGCTTTGTCACTCTGCAATTGGGGCGTGCATGCTCTCACCAGCTACATCGCCATGATGCCACCTACTGGGCATGTGCATGTGTTTAGTATGGGGTAGGTACAGCACGATGCCGACTCCGTGTATGAAGAAGTGTTTTGAGACGTCTCAAAACGATGCCGACTCTGCTGCTAGTAGCACTCACCACAGCTGCGTGTAGGGCATGCGATGTAAGCGCAGGTGGGGGTGTGTGCTGGCATGCGCTGTAGGGCATGCGTACAGCTTCCCTCGTCGCCATCTGCCTGCGCAGGTGGGTGCTGCACGCACCTAGACTAGACCCACACACATTTGCCTCGTGTCCCCCGCACGTGCTTTCTCACACTGCACTGGGGGCGTGCGCGCAGTGAGCAGCTACGTGGTTAACTAGTTTGTCTCCTAGCTGGGCAGGTGGATGTGTGCGTATGGCATGTGGCATGCACCCTCCCACCCACCCACCCACCCACCCACCCACCCACGCATTGGCTCATTGTGGGCGAATGGTATCCTACCCACCTCTCGCTACACCCTCACATCACAGCAGTGCGACGTCATCACGGGCGTATGGGTACGGCACACGGATACGGATGCTGGAGAAGCTGCTGGAGACACTCACCACTCCACACCACACCACACCACACCTTATCGAATTAAGCATATCACTCCTTCCGTGCATGCACCCCATGCCCTTGCCCCTCACAGGAGTGCGACGTCATCGCGGGCGTACGGGTACGGCACGATGCTGGAGACTCTCCAGTGGAAGGGCTGCTGCAAGCAGTCGCACGGCAGAGTGCTGTCATATCAAGCATGCCCCCCCTTCGCGTGCCTGCATCCCATGCCCTTCACAGGAGTGCCACGTCATCGCGGGCGTATGGGTACGGCACGATGCTGGAGAAGCTGCTGGAGATGCATGGGCAGGGGAGGAGTATGGAGGAGGAAACGATGAAGGTGAGGGGCAGGGGGGGGGTGGGGGGAGAAAGGGGGGAGAGGGAAGAAGACTAAGAGGTAGTAGAGGTGTGGAGTACGGAGGAGGGAACGATGAAGGTGGGGGGCAGGGGGGGGGCGGGGGGGGAGCGAGTGAAAGGCGTGGGGCATACAAGGTAGCAGCAGAGCACGTGAGGATGTTTGGCATGTACTAGTGTGTTTTCATCCTCCAGAAAGGTTGTATCTATCTCTGCACTGCATTCTGTGCAGCGCGAAAGCACAGGCAGCAGAAGCAGCGCTCTTCTCAAAGCACACGTGCAAGGACCCTCTGCTCATACATGCCACCATCGAATGCCTTTTGACTCAACTCAAAAGGCAACCCTCTGCTCATACATGCTTCTATCGCATCCTTACCACACCAAAGATCTCGTCCCGTTGTATGAGCATTGTACAACCCCCTTCCCTCAAACCCCTCCAGCCCGCTGTCCACCACACCTCCATTGCTCTTGATCCCCCTCCATTGCTCTTGATCCCCCTCCATTGCTCTCGAACCCCTTCCACCGCCCTTGGTCCCCCCTTCTCTCATGCAGGTGGTTGATGTGTTGGTATGTGACATGAAGGCCAGGGCCAGCATGTGCACCACCTGCTGAGAGATGCTTCTCGACCCCCATCCACCGCTCTCGATCCCCATCCACCGCTCTCGACCCCCTTCCATCCCTTCCTCCTCCCCCGTGCAGGTGGTTGACGCATTAGTACGGAACATGGAGGCCAGGGCTGGCACGTGCAACAACCCTCTTCTAAAGTCCCTCTTCCTCGTCAACAATATCCTCTACATCAACCGGTATGCTTTGTTGCTCTTTTCTAGCCTGTATTGTCTGGTGCGCTTTGTTCTTTTTTGCTTTCTGTCTTGTATTGGCTGATGCACTTTCTCACGAGGTTTTCTGTGTAGGTGGGTGTGTCGTATCACCTCTGTTTTGATATTTCCCCTCTTATTCGAAGTTTTTTTCCGTAATATTTTTGCCTGCTCGCACTCTCACCCCTCACCCCTCCGCTCCCTCACCGTACCTTTGCTCTCTTGGGCAGGTTGAGTGAAAAGATTCACCTGCCCCTGGAGAATCAGAAGCTGCTTGAGGCCCAATCAAAGGCCTTCAGAGAGGCCGGGCTGCAGAAGGTAAGCAGATGGCGGTGTGCCATGTGTTACAGCGTGGCATGTGTTACAGTGTGGCATTTGTTACAGCGTGGCATGTGTTACAGCGTGGCATGTGTTACAGCGTGGCATGTGTTACAGCGTGGCATGTGTTACAGCGTGGCATGTGTGATAGCGTGGCATGTGTTACAGCGTGGCATGTGTTACAGCGTGGCATGTGTTACAGCGTGGCATGTGTTACAGCGTGGCATGTGTTACAGCGTGGCATGTGTTACAGCGTGGCATGTGTTACAGCGTGGCATGTGTTACAGTGTGCCATGTGGTACAGTGTGTCTGTGTCAATGTGCCACGTGTCACAATATCCCGAGTCTAGCAATCTGTTACATTGCACTCATTTCACCATACAGCACACACTGCACCATAGTGTCCATTTCCCTGCCCTCTCTTCCGTCCCTTCACCTCTCAGCCACCCACCGTGCCTCTCCACCTCTCAGCCACCCACCGTGCCTCTCCACCTCTCAGCCACCCACCGTGCCTCTCCACCTCTCAGCCACCCACCATACCTCTGCACCTCACCTGACCCACTTCCCATGGCATGTCTGCTTGCCTCTGCTGCTGCTGCTACAGGTGACGGCATCGTTGGGCGGGCGCGGGAGGAGTGCTGCCATGGAGCCAAGTGAAGTCAACAGGCGGTGAGTCTGAGTCAATCAAGTCAACAGGCAGAGAGCCTGAGCGAATCAAGTCAACAGGCGGCGAGTCTGAGTCAATCAAGTCTAACAGGCAGCGAGTCTGAGTCAATCAAGTCAACAGGCGGTGAGATTGAATCAACCAAGTAAGGATGCGGCCGTGTGAGTTTCAATTCAATATCACTTCAAGAGGCCTCCAGCACGACTGGGTGATCTGCGACGGCGTGTGTGATGCATGCAAGACCCTCTCCTCGCCCCTTTTCCCCAAAACCCCGCCTCACACCTTCCCCTCCTGCAGCCTGCACCGCTTTAACATAGCCTTTGAGGACCTGGCGTTGGAGCAGAAGGACTGGGTGATCTGCGACGGCGCGTGGCGCAAGACCACGGTGCACGAGTGGGCGGCACACCTCAAGCACCTCTACGAGGAGTTCCTGGAACCCCACAGGTGTGCTGGTGATACGTGTAACGGCAGGGCACAGGTACCCCTGATAGATATGCGGTAAGGTGCACGAGTGGGCGGCGCACCTCAAGCACCTCTACGAGGAGTTCCTGGAACCCCACAGGTGCGTGTGTGTTTGCGTGTATGCTGCTGCAGGTGCAGACCAGTTTTGAGGTACCTCCTCTAGATGCGCAGTAGGGTGCTCAAGTGGGCGGCGCACCTCACGCACATCTACGAGAAGTTCCTTGAACCCCCGAGTTGCGTGTGCTGCAGCTGCACTGGTGGGGTGCTGCATTGCTGCAGTGCGGCAGCTGGACAGATGAGGGTTTCAAGTGGGGAAGGGTCGAGGCTGCAGTAGAGGAGTAGGCAGCACATCTCAAGCACCTCTACGAGGAGTTTCTCGAGCCACACAGGTGGGATGGCGCAGCCACACAGGTGGGATGGCGCAGCCACACAGGTGACCTGTCACACCCTACCTCCTTCCTTCCTTGCACCGCCTTCTCCCCGCCGTGTGCCCACGTGGCACAGCCACACAGGTCATCTGTGCTCAGGGGAGCACCTGAGCACGCTCCGCTCCTACCACTGGGGTCACATGCCATCTGGAACCCCAAGCACTCTTCCAGACCTACCTCCCCCTTTACCCCACACTCTCACCCCATAACCCCGCGCTATGCAGTGAGTTACCTGAGCACGCTCCTTTCGTGCCACTGGGAGGCAGGCGCCGTGGATCTACTCGTTCCCTAATACTCACCGTCCCTTACCCCACACTCTCCTGTGCCACACGGAGCGTGCCACACCACACGGTGTTACAGGAGCGTGCACTGAGTAGTTTTGACTTACCTTAAACCCTAAACCCTCCCTTACCCCACACTCTCCCCATTTCCCCTCTGTGCAGAGAGTGCCTGAGCACGCTCATTTTTGTACCACACGGAGGCAGGCGCCGCTACAATCCTCATGCACTCCTCCAAGCCTACCTCCACCCCTTCAACCCACACTCTCACCCTATGCCACCCCCGTTATGCAGTGAGTGCCTGCACACGCTCTCCTCCTACCACTGAAAGGCAGACGCCATGAAGGCAGCTCGTGATCAAGATCCCACCCCGGGGCAGTGAGATCACCTGAGGCTAAAGCACCCTCCCTTACCCCATGCTCTCTCCACTTCCTGCCTCTGCAGTGAGTGCCTGCACCCGCTCTCCTCCTACCACTGGAAGGCAGGCGCCATCAGGAACCTCAAGCACTTCTCCAAACCTACCTCCACCCCTTACCCCATACATACTCCCACCTCATGGACTCTGCCCATCCCCCCCCTCTGTGCAGTGAGTGTCTGCACTCACGCTCCTCCGATCACTGGAAGGCAGACGCTATGGAGCGGCTCGTGCTCAAGCACTCTTTCTGTGCGTGCACTGAAACCAACGCACCCTCCCTTCCCTTACCCACACTCTCCCACCCACTTCCTCGTCCTGTGCAGTGAGTGCCTGCACACGCTCTCGTCCTACCACTGGGAGGCAGACGCCATGGAGCGCCTCGTGCTCAAGTCTTTCTTTGCAACCTCCAGATGACACCACCTTGCGGGCAGCGATAACGCCTTGTCGGGTAGCAATCAGGCGTTTCAGGGCAGCAATAACATCTTGTTGGGCAGTAGCGTTTTACTGGACAGCGCTAACACTGTGCCGGGAGGAGTTTATGAGGATGTTTTGCAGGCAGCTGCAAGCTCATTCAACCGGTAAATGGATAAGGCTTCCACTGTTGCAATGTTTCAAGCCTTTTGGTGTGAGCAGATTCGATGGCTTGTTGGAATGCTGGAACAGTGAGGGTGCCTACTGAAAAAATGGCTTTCGAGTCGAGTCCTTCGTGTCTGATCCATATGGAATTGCTTGAGATGAATGCAAGGCTGTAAGGTTAGTTGTGGTTGAGTGCGGTGTCACAAATTGGTTACTAGGTTGGCCGGTAGGACTGCACCCTGAAAGATTGGTGGTGAGCTTTTAGGTTGAGGACGCCTAGGGTTGACAAGTTTGAAGATTTTCAAAGCTGAAATGTGGCTAGTCATGCTCGTACCGTATTACTCGGAATGTACCGGTAAGCGCACCTGCGCTTATAATAAAACATTATTTTTCAGGGGGGTGCGCTTATAATTGAGTAGAAAATATAAGCGCATGCGCTTATAGAATAACAAATATGCAAGTTTAAATTACTAGCACGAAATGTAGTTCGCGTCATTGCGCCCAATCGAGTCGGTTTGAAACAGGGTTGTGGGCAGGGCTCTCGTTATCAGACCAAATTGGTCTGATGGTCTGATTTTCAGACCTTGATTTTGGCTTTCATCTTATTTTCAAGACGAGGATTTTTACTTCGTCTGTAAGGAAAATTCCTTTTCCTTACTTCGCATCCCTACTCAACGCGTACATCACTGTAGCACCACAGTCAGCACCGTTACCACTCGCAACCCTCGCATCGACAATCCGCCCGCCACCTTCGCACATCGCACCCCGACCTCACGGCTCGGCGGGTAACCCGCGCTCCGGGCCTCCGCTTCGACACTTTTTCCCAACCTCAGTCCCAGGCCCGTCGCGCGACAACCACAGTCCATTACCGTTACCACTGTAGTTTCGCTATATATTATTCGCTCATTGTACTCTTGCTTCGATAGTGCAATTCTCGTTCGTTCACTCAATTGCACTCGTAACACTTGGTATTCAGAGCCTACGATCTCCTCTCGGACCGCACCCACACCTTCGCTTCCCCACTATCTCAATTTTTGGGGGGGGTAGATGTCTCTCAGCGACACAGCACCGCCGCTCGTAGTGCTCTCTCGTAAGCACGCACGGCCACGACCGAGGCTTTCGCTGAGCTCGCCCGACACCCCCGCCATGGCCGAATTCACGCTCGCCACATTGACGCAGGAGCAGCTCGACCGTCTGGTGCGCCAACTTGAAGATTCGGCGCTCGAAACTGCGACGCTCACGGCGGAACGTGACTCCGCGCGTCAGCAAACAACGATGAACACTCCAGCACCACCACACGCACCGACAAATGCATATGCACAATCAGACGAGCCGATCGTCATCTCATCCGGCACACCAACACAAAACAACAGCGTGGGACAGCGCTCAGGCGCAGCCAGCGATGGCGCCGCCCAGCCGATGCCTGGCATGGGAGGAAACAGGGTCGCACCAAGCCCGCGGGAGCCTCGCGCAGCCCGTCGGCACGTGGAGTTCGCGGCGACAAGTGGCGAACAGGCCATTATGGCACCAATGCCACTCAAGCCGCAACGCCCGCCCTGCTTCGACCCGAGCCAGCGTGGAGGTCCGACGGTTCAATCTTGGGTCTTAACGATGAACATCTTCTTTGACGCGAATTACGTCGAGTCGGACGCAGCGAAGATTCGGTATGCCGTTTCGCTGCTAAGGGGCCCCGCCATGGACTGGTGGCGAGCCATCGTGACGTCGCCACGCGCCTACGAGCCACCGTCGCAAGAGGAAGGGCCCACGGGCCCAGCTGTTGATGAGAAACGAGAAGGAATGCATTAAGCAGAAAGGGGAGTACAAGTAGCAAACCCTAAAGTGTTGTACCCCATATAAACTGCCCCACTACAGCCTACACAGACTATAGCAGATATGCCTGACACACCCCCATAGGCAGAGTGGGGGAGAACAAGGGGTCACAAGACCAGTCAAGCAAAGCAAAGCAAGCTCAGGGTGGATCACAACGTCACCACACAGTCCGAGCACAAGAGCAAGGCCACAAGGCCAGTTCACATGCAAGATCATATATATAAAGGTAAACAAGCAAGTGCAGGTATAGAAAGAGGACAGTACAAGCAAGGTCAAGAAGTGAGCAAGTGAGGCCAAGTAGGCACAAGACCTAGCACAGTACACAAGCGCTGATGATCACAAGGCGGAAGGGCCTTGGTGAAGATATCAGCAGTGTTGGCCTCAGAGGCCACGTAGGTGAGGCGCAGCTGACCACGTTGCTGTAGCTCACGAGCCAGGAAGTAGCGGAGAGCAATGTGCTTCGTTCTGTGCTCCAGTCTGTGCTCCCGACACAAGGCCAGCATGGCCTTGTTGTCTACGTAAAGAACTGGAGGAGAACGAGGCGGCTCTCCTAGGTCAGTCAGCAGGTAGGTGAGCCAGCGTAGCTCCTGTGTAGCCATGGCCCCTGCGTAGATCTCAGCCTCACAGCTGGAGCTGAGAACAGAAGACGAGCGGGTAGACAGCCACGAAACAGAGCCGGAGCCAAGGCTGAAGGTGTAACCCTGTGACGACCACTGCAAAGCCTGGTCGTCAGCCCAAGAAGAGTCTGCGTGACCTGTGAGGACCACTCGACGCCGCCCTCGAAGCACTAGCCCCATGCCCGACGTACTGCACACGTAGCGCAACACCCTCTTCGCTGCAGCCATGTGCTCTGGTCGGTGTCTCCCAGGAGCAACATAGCGTGCCAAGATGCTAAGAGGGTATGCAAGGTCAGGTCGTGTGCAGGTCATCAGGTACATGAGGCAGCCAACAAGCTGTGGGTACGGGCCACTCGGCTCTACGGACTCATCCGAAGGCAGAGCTGAGAGCGAGTGGCGAGTAGACAGAGGAGTGGCCTGAGGCGAGGAGTACGTGAAGCCGAAGCGCTGAAGGACCTGCTGCACCATGTGTGACTGAGTCAGGGTAATGGTGCGCTGTGCTCTGTCCCGGGTGATCTGCAAGCCAAGGTAGCTGCGCAGTTCACCCAGGTCTGTGCACGTGTGTCTCTTCTGCAGCTCGGACTTCACGTGGGCGAGTCCAGCAGTGTCAGCAGTGGCAAAGACCAAGTCGTCGACGTACACGAGGATGTAGAACGGCGACAAAGAGTTGTCGGTGCGCAGAAACAACGACGGGTCGGCTGTAGAAGGAGCAAACCTAAGAGCCGCAAGTGTAGTCCTCAGTGTGTCGTGCCACTCACGGGGCGCCTGGCGGAGACCGTAGACTGGCCGCCGGAGGCTCCACTGGGTACCAGGAGGAAACGACCCAGTGAAGTTAGGTGGACGGCGCAGCCAGATCTCCTCGTGCAGGCTGCCCTGCAGGAAAGCTGTGCTGAAGTCAAGAGAGTGAAACTCGTAGTCGCGCTGAGCAGCTATGTGTAGCAGCACCCGAAGAGTGGTCATCTTCGGGGTGGGAGAGAAGGTATGAAAGTAGTCAACTCCCTGCGACTGTCTGGAGCCTCGAGCCACGTAACGCCCCTTGAAGACAGGCGGAGAACCCGGCGGCCGCTTCACCCTGAAGATCCACATGCCACTGACGATGTTCGCCCCAGGTGGGGGAACCTCGTCAACGTAGGTGCCTTTGGACTTCCAGGAAGCCATCTCTTCGTCCATGGCCGACTGCCACTGAGAGGAGTAGGGACCCTCGATCGCCTCAGCGTACGATCGAGGAGTCGGGATGTCTGGTGCATCCGGGTCTCCCTCAGGGGCAATCAGCGTGGACACGAGATGGGGCAAAGCAGCAGCAAAGCATTGGAACTCCTCCTGCCTGTCCTCAAGGACGTCTGTGCTAAGAGCACACTCACCCCCGACGGACGGAGGACAGACAGACTTAGACTCAGCAACGAGACAAGCAGCGTAGTCTAGACGACAACGAGCAGCGAAGTCGACAAGCTCAGCAACTAGGGCAGACGCAGCAGTGGACTCAAAGGAAGGGTCAGTGACAACAGTAGCCAGAAGACGCGTGACAGAAGGACTAGCAGCACGAAGAGAGTCAGACTCCGGGTCAGCAAGAGTAGGAAGAGAGGACTCTGGAGGAGACGGTAACGGGACACGCAGAGGAGCAGTGGAAGGACGCAGTGTCAGATTTATATGACATAGTTGCTGTAGGCTATAGTGGGGTAGCACATATGGGGTACAAGGTTTCTAGGGTTGTATTTGTACCCAATCTTTCCTTAGTCATTTCATTCCTGTTTACTTGTTTCACATGGTATAGAGCGGGTCCTTCCTAAGGACCGTTTTTTTAGGGCCCACCGAAGCGCGCCCCGAGGCGCGCATTTTTTTTTAGCGACCCCTCGGGTCGCCATTTCCCTCGCGGCCCCGCTGCCCCCTCCTGATCGCGGCCCCGCCGCCTGCTTGACGCGGCCCCGCCGCCTCCACTGACGCGGCCCCGCCGCCGGCTCTGACGCGGCCCTGCCGCCCGCTACGTCGCGGCCCCGCCGCCTGCTTGACGCGGCCCCGCCGCCTCCACTGACGCGGCCCCGCCGCCTGCTTGACGCGGCCCCGCCGCCTCCACTGTCGCGGCCCCGCCGCCTGCTCTGACGCGGCCCTGCCGGCCCGCTGCTGCACTTGACGGCCCCGCCGCTGCACCTGCCGGCCCGCCGCTGCACCCTACGGCCCGCCGCTGCACCCTACGGCCCGCCGCCTCACCTGACGGCCCCGCCGCTGCGCCTGCCGGCCCGCCGCTGCACCCTACGGCCCGCCGCTGCACCCAGCGGCCCGCCGCTTCACCTGACGGCCCAGCCGCTGCACCTGCCGGCCCGCCGCTGCACCCTACGGCCCGCCGCTGCACCCAGAGACCCGCCGCTGCACCTGACGGCCCCGCCCCTGCATCTCCCGGCCGAGCCGCCCCAGCAGCAGAGCCGCCCCAGCAGCCGAGCCGCCCCAGCCGCCGAGCCGCCCCAGCAGCCGAGCCGCCCCAGCAGCCGAGCCGCCCCAGCAGCCGAGCCGCCCCAGCTGCAGTGCCGCCCGAGCCGCCCGAGCCGCCGAGTCGCCCGAGCCGCCCAGCAGTCGAGCCGCCCGAGCCGCCCGAGCCGCCCGAGCCGCCTGAGCCCTCCCTGCACTGCCCTGTCTGGTGAGCACTGAGCTTTACTCTGCGCACTGCCCTCACCCTACTGCTGTCATGGCTACCCCCAGTGTCCTCGCCTTTGACGCTGAGGGCAGAGCCATTGACTTTGACGTGTGGGTAGACGACCTACTGCTTTTCCTACAGTGCGACAGAGCTGACGGACTCTCTCTCTTTGATCTCACTTCTGGTGCCTCTCCCGCCCCTGCTGCTACTGAGGATGCCACTGTTCGCTCACAGTGGGCCACACGCGATGCTGCTGCACGTCTTGCTGTGCGTCGCCACCTCCCTCCCGCTGAGCGTGCGCACTTTGGGTCGTACAAGAGTGCTAAGACCCTGTACGACGCCGTTATCGCACGCTACTCCACCCCAGCCACTGCTGCACTGAGCCGCCTCATGCTACCGTACCTCTTTCCCGACCTTGCTGCTTTTGCCACAGTCGCCGACCTCATTACCCACTTGCGCACTAGTGACGCTCGCTTCCGCGCTGCACTTCCTGCTGAGTTCTGCGCCAAGAACCCCCCCCCCCCCCCAGTACTTCACTCTCTACTACATTGTCACCCGCCTCCCTGACTCCCTTCGCGGAGTCAGGGACGACCTACTCGCAGTCTGCCCCACCACTCTCACTGTCGAGATCCTCGAGAGGTCCCTCCTCGCAGCCGAGAAGAGCATTCTCGCTGTAGGGGCCTCTCGTGGTGACCCGCGCACCCCCATCTTTGAGGGGTGTTCCCCCTCCCCCCTCCTGCCCTCTGTCGCCTCTGCTGCTACGGCCGACCTTGTTGGTTTTGAGTCGGTCGGAGCGGCGTCTGCCCCCAGCGGGAGACGTCGCTCTGGCAAGAGCAAGGGGGGCAGGGGCGGTGGTGGAGGCGGCGGGGGCGGTGGAGGCGGAGGTAGAGGCAGCGGCGGAGGTGAGGGTGGTAGCGGGAGTAGTGGCGGGAGTGGAGGTGTCGGCGGAGGCAGTGGAGGCGGGGGCGGCAGCGGCGGTGGTAGTGGGGGTGGAGGCGGAGGCGGCGGTGGCGGCGGCGACGGTGGGAGTGGCGGTGGCGGTGGAGGTGGTGGCGGCGGCGGCGGAGGAGGCGGCGGGGGTCGTGGCGCGCCGAGGAGGAGTGGCTCCGGTGGTGGTCAGCGCCAGCAGCAGCAGCGTGGTCAGGAGACCCTCTCCCCGCAGCAGCTCCGTGAGTGGTACTCTGCGCGTCAGCGGGGTGGGGGTACTGGTCCGTGCACTTACGTCCTACGCACTGGCGACCGTGCGGGTGAGCAGTGTGGTGGTCCACACTCCACCCAGCGTTGCTTCGGCCGCCTGACTGACGCTTGGCGCCGCCAATTTCCTGACGCCTCTGAGATCCCTCGCTGGGACCAGCTGTCTAGGGCTGGAGTAGCTATCTTTGATCTTGACTTTGATGCTATTCTTGCTGCTATGTATGCTGTGACTATTAGTGAGGAGGGTGACTGTTACCGGTGTTTCCCGCCCGACCCGGGCATTGGTACTGCGGCTCTAGGTGCTGTTGAGGCTGCTGCTCCAGGGGCTGGTGAGGCTGTTGGTCTAGGTGCCAGTGATTCTGAGTCCTCAGGTGCTGGTGAGTCTGCTCTCTCAGGTACTGTGTCGACTTCACCCTCTCTCACTTTCACTCTTGACTCCGGGGCGTCTCGCTCCTTCTTTCGAGACCGCACCACACTCACGCCGCTTAGTCGGCCAGTGGCGGTCTCCTTGGCAGACCCCTCTGGGGGTCCTGTTCCGGCTCGCTACTCCACTGTCCTGCCGTGCCCTGCGGCCCCGTCTGGCGCCCTGTCCGGTCTCTACCTCCCCTCGTTCTCTACGAACTTGGTGGCGGGTGCTGACCTACAGGATGCAGGGGTTGACCAGTTCACCCCTGCGCGCCGACGAGTCACCCACTGCACGGACGCGGACACGGGTCGACACCTGACCACATTCACACGTGGTCCAGGGTCGAGCCTGTACACACTCACTGTTCCGTCTCCTTCTCCTGCGTCTGGTCAGGTAGCTGCGTCGGGTCAGGTGTTTGCTGCAGCGTCCAGGTCTGGTCCTGAGTCTGCCCCTTGCTCGTGTCGCCTCCTGTCCCACGAGACCCTCCTGTGGCACCACAGGATGGGTCACCCCTCCCTGCCTCGTCTCCGGGGCATGGCCTCTCGCCTTCTTGTCCCTGGCCTCCCCCGGTCCCTCCCTCCCCTTCCTCCGGGGCCTGGCCCTCCCTGTGTCCCCTGTGTCGAGGGTCGCCTGCGGGCTACCCCTCACTCCTCCCCGTTCCCTCCGACGGAGGCCCCAATGCAGACGCTTCACATGGACGTGTGGGGCCCAGCCCGCGTCCGTGGACAGGGTCACGAGCGCTACTTCCTGCTGGTGGTTGACGACTACACGCGTTACACCTCAGTCTTCCCCTTGCGCAGCAAGGGTGAGGTCACTGAGGTGTTGATCGACTGGATCCGCGCAGCTCGTCTCCAGCTCAGGAAGAGCTTCGGCTCAGACTTTCCTGTTTTCCGCCTGCACTCGGACAGAGGCGGAGAGTTCTCCTCCGGCCTTCTGCGAGCCTACTGTCGGGCACGAGGCATCCGCCAGACCTTCACGCTTCCGGACTCTCCACAGCAGAATGGGATTGCTGAGCGCCGCATCGGCATTGTCATGGACGTCGCCCGTACGTCCATGGTGCATGCGGCTGCCCCCCATTTTCTGTGGCCGTTTGCGGTTCGGTACGCCGCGCATCAGATCAACCTTCACCCCAGGGTCTCTCGGCCCGCGATGTCCCCAGTCTTGATGTGGACGGGGAAGGTTGGCGATGCGTCGGCATTCCGTGTCTGGGGATCTCGGGCGTTTGTCCGCGACTTGTCTGCGGACAAGCTGTCCCCTCGTGCTGCTCCCTGTGTCTTCCTTGGCTTCCCCCCTGACGCCCCAGGGTGGCAGTTCTACCACCCCTCCTCTCGTCGTGTTCTGTCCTCCCAGGACGTCACGTTCGACGAGTCAGTCCCCTTCTACCGCCTCTTCCCCTACCGCACTCCTTCCCTCCCCCCTCCACCGGACTTCCTTGTGCCGGTTCCCCCCCCGGTAGACCCCCTCCCCCCTCAGGTTCCTGCTCCCTCAGGTGTGTCCCAGGTAGAAGCCGTTGACCCGGTCGAGGTTACTTGTGACTCTGGTGCTGCTGCGGGTGTTGGGCGTGGGGGTGCCGCCTCTGGGGGTGCTGTGCGCGGGGGTGCCGGGCCTGGAGGTGCTGCCACTGGGGGTGCTGAGCCTGGGGGTGCTGGGCCTGAGGGTGCTACTGCGGAGGGTGCTGAGCCTGGGGGTGCTGAGCCTGGGGGTGCTGAGCCTTGGGGTGCTGAGACTGGAGGTGCTACGCCTTGGGGTGCTGAGCCGGGGGGTGCTGTGTCAGGAGCTGCTGAGCCTGGGGGTGCTGAGTCTGGAGCTGCTGCGCCTGGGGGTGCTGCGTCTGGAGCTGCTGAGCCTGGGGTTTCTCCTGCTGCTGCGTCTCGCCGGGAGCCCCTCTCTCCACAGGAGCTGCGCGAGTGGTTTGCTCGCCGCTGGAGGCGTGCTGCTGGAGCTGGAGCTTCTTCGACTGTCGAGGGTGCTGGTCCTGCCGGTCCCGGAGCTGCTGGGCCTGCGGGTCCTACTGGAGCTGGAGCCACTGAGGGTGTTGGTGCTGAGACAGCTGCTGTCTGTCCTGGCGGTGGTTCTGCTGCTGGTGCTGCTGGAGGTCCTGCTGCTGGAGGTGCTGGTGGCGCTGGTGCTGTCGCTGAGGGTGCTGGTGCTGTACCTGCTGAGTCTGGAGTTGCCGCGCGGCCTCGGCCGTACTTCGTTCCGCTCCTGCAGCAGGTTCTTGGTCTTTCTCCTCCGGTAGAGTGTCCACAGCCTGTCCAGTCGCAGTCCCTGTTGGAGCCTTCCTCTCCACTGCCTGCTCCCTCTCCTTACACTGGTCCTACTGGAGGTCTTGCTGAGCGTCGTGAGCCTGCGTCTCGTCCTGCGTCGCCTGTTCGTGCTGCTCGCACTAGTGGTCGCGGTTCGCGTCAGCGTCCTCCTCCTGTCCCTGGCACGCACCGGATGTCTCTGCGTCCGTCCACTGCTCCTCTGCGTGCCCCTTTGCCTTCTCCTCCTGAGTCCTCTCTTCCTGCGCTTGCCGACCCTGAGTCGGACTCTCTTCGTGCTGCCAGTCCTACTGTCACGCGTCTCCTTGCTACTGTCGTCACTGACCCCTCGTTTGAGTCCACTGCTGCGTCTGCCCTTGTCGCTGAGCTCGTCGACTTTGCTGCTCGCTGTCGTCTAGACTACGCTGCTAGTCTTGTTTCTGAGTCAGCGTCTGACTGTCCTCCGTCCGTCGGGGGTGACTGTGCTCTTGGCACGGACGGCCTAGAGGACAGGCAGGAGGAGTTACAGTGTCTGGCGGCTGCTTCACCTCATCTCGCGTCTGTACTGCTTTCTCCTGAGGGAGACCCGGATGCACTAGACATCCCGACTCCGCGCTCTTACGCGGAGGCCGTAGAGGGTCCCTACTCGTCTCAGTGGCAGGCAGCTATGGATGCAGAGATGGCTTCCTGGAAGTCCACAGGCACCTACGTTGACGCAGTTCCCCCTCCTGGGGCGAACATCGTCAGTGGCATGTGGATCTTCAGGGTGAAGCGGCCGCCGGGCTCTCCACCTGTCTTCAAGGCGCGGTACGTTGCTCGTGGCTTCAGTCAGCGGCAGGGAGTTGACTACTTTCAGACCTTCTCACCCACCCTGAAGATGACCACTCTTCGGGTGCTGCTGCACATAGCCGCTCAGCGCGACTACGAGCTTCACTCTCTCGACTTCAGCACTGCGTTCCTGCAGGGTAGCCTGCACGAGGAGATCTGGCTGCGCCGTCCACCTGGCTTCACTGGGACTTTCCCTCCTGGCACCCAGTGGAGCCTCCGACGGCCAGTCTACGGTCTCCGCCAGGCACCGCGTGAGTGGCACGACACACTGAGGACTACGCTTGCGGCTCTTGGGTTCGCTCCTTCTACTGCTGACCCGTCGCTGTTTCTGCGCACCGACACTTCTCTGCCGCCGTTCTACATCCTCGTGTACGTCGACGACTTGGTCTTTGCCACAGCGGACACTGCTGGACTTGCCTACGTGAAGTCCGAGCTGCAGAAGAGACACACGTGCACAGACCTGGGTGAACTGCGCAGCTACCTTGGTTTGCAGATCACTCGGGACAGAGCACGCCGCACCATTACCTTGACTCAGTCACACATGGTGCAGCAGGTCCTTCAGCGCTTCGGCTTCACGTACTCCTCGCCTCAGGCCACTCCTCTGTCTACTCGCCACTCGCTCTCAACTCTGCCTTCGGATGAGTCCGTAGAGTCGAGTGGCCCGTACCCAGAGCTTGTTGGCTGCCTCATGTACCTGATGACCTGCACACGACCTGACCTTGCATACCCTCTGAGCATTCTTGCACGCTATGTTGCTCCTGGGAGACACCGACCAGAGCACATGGCTGCAGCGAAGAGGGTGTTGCGCTACCTGTGCAGTACGTCGGGCATGGGGCTAGTGCTTAGAGGGCGGAGTCCAGTGGTCCTTACAGGGCACGCGGACGCTTCTTGGGCTGACGACCAGGCTACGCAGCGGTCGTCACAGGGTTACACCTTCAGTCTTGGTTCCGGCTCTGTCTCGTGGCGGGCTACTCGCTCGTTTTCGGTTCTCAGCTCCAGTTGTGAGGCTGAGATCTACGCTGGGGCCATGGCTGCACAGGAGCTTCGCTGGCTCACCTACCTGCTGACTGACCTTGGAGAGCCGCCTCGTTCTCCTCCAGTGCTGTACGTAGACAACAAGGCCATGCTGGCCTTGTGTCGAGAGCAGCGTCTGGAGCACAGAACGAAGCACATTGCTCTTCGCTACTTCCTTGCTCGTGAGCTGCAGCAGCGTGGACAGTTGCGGCTTGCGTACGTGGCCTCTGAGGCCAACACTGCTGATGTGTTCACCAAGGCACTCGCGCCTTGTGACCATCAGCGCCTCTTCACCCAGCTGGGTCTTGTGCCTGTCTTGCCTCACTTGCTCTCCTCTTGACTTTACTTGTACTGTGACATATATATACCTGGTCTTGCTTGTCTAGTTTTATATATATATGTCTGTACTCCTGCATGTGAACTGGCCTCTGGCCCTGCTCTTGTGCTCGGACTGTGTGGTGACTTTGTGATCCACCCTGAGCTTGCTCTGCTTTGCTTTACTTGACTGGTCTTGTGACCCCTTGTTTTCCCCCACTTTGCCTATGGGGGTGTGTCAGATTTATATGACATAGTTGTTTTAGGCTATAGTGGGGTAGCACATATGGGGTACAGGGTTTCTAGGGTTGTATTTGTAACCAATCTTTCCTTAGTCATTTCATTCCTGTTTACTTGTTTCACACGCAGCGCCATCTGGTGTGTGCCGGGGACCGTAGGAGGACGCGGACGCGCAGTACGACCACTAGTGCGAGCAGCACGAACAGGCGACGCAGGACGAGACGCAGGCTCACGACGCTCAGCAAGACCTCCAGTAGGACCAGTGTAGGGAGAAGGAGCAGGTAGAGGGGAGACGGGCTGTAACTGTGACTGGGACTGGACAGGCTGTGGACACTCTAAGGGAGGAGCAGGACCAGTAGAGGGCGGGAGACCAAGAACCTGCTGAAGGAGCAGAACGAAGTACAGTCTCGGCCGCGCAGCGCCTCCAGAACCAGCAAGGACAGCACCAGTACCCTCAGCGGCAGCACCAGCGCCAGCAGCACCTCCAGCTCCAACAGCGCCAACTCCAGCACCCTCAGAAGCACTAGCGTCAGCAGTACCGCCAGCGCCAACACCCCCAGCAGCTCCAGCTCTAGCAGCTCCAGCTCCAGCAGCCTCAGCACCACCCCCAGACGCACCAGCGCCAGTAGAAACACTAGCGCCAACACCCCCAGCAGCTCCAACTCCTGCAGCACCAGCACCGCCAGCAGCTCCAGCAGGACCAACTCCAGTGGCCCCAGCAGCTCCAGGACCGCCAGTACGAGCACCTCCGGGACCAGCAGCAACAGGAGCACCTCCAGCTCCAGCAGCACGTCCCCAGCGGCGGGCAAACCACTCGCGCAGCTCCTGTGGAGAGAGCGGCTCCCGCCTCGACGAAGCACCGCCGGCGGCCACACGAGCAGACCCAGCGCCCCCACGCTCCGCACCCCCAGGCTCCGCACCCCCAGACCCAGCACCCCCAGACTCAGCACCCCCAGTCTCAGCACCCCCAGTCTCAGCACCCCCAGACCCGGCACCCGCAGGCTCAGCAACTCTAGCAGCACCAGAGTCAACAGCTACCTCGACAGGCTCGACTGCGTCTACCTGGGACACACCTGACGGGGCAGGACCCTGAGGGGGGAGGGGGTCTACCGGGGGAGGACCTGGCGCAAGGAAGAGCGGCGGCAGGGGGAGGGGCGCAGTGCGGTAGGGGAAGAGACGGTAGTAAGGCACCGACTCGTCAAAGGTGACGTCCTGGGAGGACAGAACACGGCGCGAGGTGGGGTGGTAAAACTGCCACCCAGGCGCGTCAGGGGGGAAGCCAAGGAAGACGCAGAGAACAGCACGGGGGGACAGCTTGTCCGCAGACAAGTCGCGGACAAACGCCCGAGATCCCCAGACCCGAAACGCAGTCGCATCGCCAACCTTCCCGGTCCACCGCAAGGCGGGGGAGGTCTCTGGCAAGGAGACCCAGGGCTGAAGGTTGAGCTGATGCGCGGCGTACTGAACCGCAAACAGCCACAGAAAATGGGGGGCAGCCGCATGCATCATGGACGTACGAGCGACGTCCATGACCATGCCAATGCGGCGCTCAGCAATCCCATTTTGTTGTGGAGAGGCCGGAAGCGTGAAGGTCTGGCGAATGCCCTGCGCACGACAGAAAGCTCCCAGACGGGCAGAGGAAAACTCCCCGCCTCTGTCCGAGTGCAAACGCAGAACAGGAAAGTCCGAGCCGAAACTCTCCATGAGTTGGAGACGAGCTGCGCGGATCCAATCGATCAACACCTCAGTGACGTCACCCTTGCTGCGCAAGGGGAAGACTGAGGTGTAACGCGAGTAGTCGTCAACCACCAGCAGGAAGTACCGCTCGCGCCCCTGCCCACTGACGCGGGCGGGGCCCCACACGTCCATGTGGAGAGTCTGCAGCGGAGCCTCTGTCGGAGGAAACTCGGAGGAGTGAGGGGCGGCGCGCTGTCGCCCCTCGACGCAGGGGACGCAGGTAGGGCCAGGCCCCAGAGGTAGGGGAGGGAGAGACCGGGGGAGACCAGAGACAAGTACACGGAAGGCCATGCCTCGGAGACAAGGCAGGGAGGGGTGACCAAGGCGGTGGTGCCAAAGGAGAGTCTGGTGGGAGAGTAGACGACACGAGCAGGGAGCAGACTCAGGACCAGACCTGGACGCTACAACAAACACCTGACTCGACGCAGCTACCTGGCCAGACTCAGCAGCCGGAGGAGACTCAATAGTAAGGGTGTACAGGCTCGACCCTGGCCGACGGGTGAACGTAGCCAAGTATCGGCCTGTCCGAGCACACGTGCAGTGGATCACCCGCTGACTCGCAGGAGTGAACTGGTCAACCCCCCTATCCTGTAGGTCCGCTCCACTCACCAAGTTCGTAGAGAACGAGGGGAGGTAGAGACCTGATAGGGTGCCAGAGGGGGCTGCCGGGCACGGTAAGACAGTGGAGAAGCTAGCAAGGACAGGACCCCCAGAGGGGTCCGCCAGGGAGACTGCAACCGGCCGACTGAGCGGCGTAAGAGTGGTGCGGTCTCGAAAGAAGGAGCGGGACGCACCCGAGTCAAGGGTGAAGGTGTGTAAGGCCTGAGCTGACGTAGTACTTGAGAGCGCAGACTCACCAGCACCTGGGGCGGCAGACGCACGAGCACCTAGAGCAGCAGCCTCAATGCCCGGGTCAGGCGGTACACACAGGTAACAGTCACCCGCAACACTATCATCAACAGCATACATGGCTGCAAGAATAGCATCAAAATCAAGATCAAAGATAGCAACCCCCGCCCTAGACAGCTCTCCCCAGCGAGGGATCTCAGAGGCCCCAGGGAACTGGTGACGCCACGCGTCCGTCAGGCGGCCGAAGCAGCGCTGGGTGGAGTGCGGGCCCCCGCACTGCTCACCAGCGCGGTCGCCGGTGCGGAGAACGTAGGTGCAGGGACCCGTACCCCCACCGCGCTAACGCGCAGCGTACCACTCACGAAGCTGCTGAGGGGACAGGGTCTCACAACTGCTCTGCTGCTGCTGGCGCGTACCACCACCGGAGCCACTCCACTGCGCAGAGCCGCGACCAGGTCCACTGCTGCCACCGCCGCCTCCGCCGCCTCCTCCACCTCCGCCTCCTCTGCCACCTCCGCTCCCTCCGCCACCACTGCCGCCTCCTCCGCCTCCACTGCTGCCGCTGCCGCCGCCACCCCCGCCACCACTCCCACCACCACCCCCACCCCCTCCACTGCCTCCACCACCACCTCCACCGCCTTGCCAGCCCCTCCAGCGCCCTTGCCCCCCTTGCCCTTGCCAGAGCGGCGTCTCCCGCTAGGGGCAGACGCAGCGCCGACCGACTCGAAACCAACGAGGTCGGCCGCAGCAACAGAAGCAATAGAGGGCAAGAGGGGGGGGGGGGACACCCCTCAAAGACGGGGGTGCGAGGGTCACTACGAGAGGCTCCTACAGCGACTATGCTCTTCTCTGCTGCTAGGAGGCCCTTCTCGAGGAGGTCAACGGTGAGAGTGGTGGGGCAAAGTGAGAGGAAGTGGTCCCTGACTACGTGAAGAGAGTCAGGGAGCCGGGTGACTATGTAGTAGAGGGTGATGTACATGGGGGGGGGGTTCTTGGTGCAGAACTCAGCAGGAAGCGCAGTGCGGTAGCGAGTGTCACTAGTGCGGAGGTGCGTAATGAGGTCAGCGACTGTGGGAAAGGCAGCAAGGTCAGGGAAGAGGTACGGTAGCATGAGGCGGCTCAGTGCAGCAGTGGCAGGGGAGAAGTAGCGTGCAACTACAGCGTCGTACAAGGTCTGAGCACTCTTGTACTGGCTAAAGTGTGCACGCTCAGTGGTCGGTAAGTGGCGACGCACAGCAAGGCGAGCAGCAGCATCGCGTGTGGCCCACTGTGAGCGAACAGTGCTGTCAGCAGTGGGAGTCGGGGCAGGAGAGACACCAGAGGTGAGATCGAACAGAGAGAGTTCGTCTGCCCTATCGCACTGGAGAAACAGCTTGAGGTCATCGACTCAGACCTCAAAGTCAACGGCACGGCCCTCAGCATCAAAAGTAAGGACACTGGGGGTAGCCATGACTGCAGTGGCCTAGCAGGAAGTGAGCTCACCAGTCCGAGGAAGGAGGGCCGGGGAGCACCGGTAGGAACAGCAGCGGCTCGACAGTAGGGCGGCTCGGCGGCTCGGCAGCAGGGCGGCTCGGGTGCTGGGCGGCTCGGCTGCTGGGCGGCTCGGCGGCAGGGCGGCTCGGCTGCTGGGCGGCTCGGCGGCAGGGCGGCTTGGCTGCTGGGCTGCTCGGCGGCTCGGTCGGTGGGCGGCTGAGCGGTGACAGGGCCGCTAGGGGAGGGCGACGGGGCCGCAGGTGACGGCGACGGGGCCGTAGGTGGCGGCTGCGTGGCCGCAGGTGGCGGCAACGGGGCCGCAGGTGGTGGCGACGGGGCCGCTGGTGGTGGCGACGGGGCCGCACGTGGCGGCGACGGGGCCGCAAGGGGCCTAGACGGGGCCGCGGAGGGGCCGTAAGGGGCCTAGACGGGGCCGTAGCGGGGCCGCAAGGGGCCTAGACGGGGCCGCGGAGGGGCCGTAAGGGGCCTAGACGGGGCCGTAGCGGGGCCGCAAGGGGCCTAGACGGGGCCGCGGAGGGGCCGTAGGGGCCTAGACGGGGCCGTAGCGGGGCCGCAAGGGGCCTAGACGGGTCCGCGGAGGGGCCGTAAGGGGCCTAGACGGGGCCGTAGCGGGGTCGCAAGGGGCCTAGACGGGGCCGTAAGGGGCCGGAAAGGGCGCCGCGAGGGGCCGAAAGGGGCCGCGCGAGGGCCGTAAGGGCGACGCGA